GAAAAATGTTTACACAATGAAAAATTACACTAGTAATTCTGATATAAAAAGTAGTAAAGTCAAAATTTTGCAGCGACAACAATTATTTCTAAAAAAAGGTCACGAACCCAATTCTAAGCTACTAATTCTTGAATGTGCAGCGCCAAAGGCACGGACTGTAAACCGCCTTAGATAAATAATTTATCTGACAATTATATTTAGTAATTCTGTATCTATAATTTCAAAAAACAGTAGATTTTTTACAAAAATGAATGAAATTGTCAATCAATTATTATGCCCAATGCTCATTACTAAAAATCGCTGTACTACTCGGTCAAAACAGGGTTCTAGACAAAAAATTTTTTTTTCTTTGTTGGAAGAAAAAGGCACCTTTTTCCAAACCGAAAAAAAACGACGTAATCTGCCTGGCAATTCAACACATTCCGCTGAACACGAAAAAAAAAACAGAAAAAAAAGACAAAAATGCGTAAAAATGGAAAATGCGGAAAAAATGGAGAATATGAAGAGATGGGTAGCTTTTTCCCGTTTCAGCCACAAAATAACATGACAGAGAAACTATTTTCCCGTAGGAAAATGCTCTTGGTGGTTTCCAATAACATGTGTTATAACATTTTCAGCGGAAAAATGCATCAGAACATCATGTAAACCATATGTCAAGAAAACTATATGAGAAGAAAAAGCGAAATGCGAAGAAACCGTGGCGCCGAGTCAACACATCGAGGCGGTTCGACTTCAATTCGTGGTTAGAAACGAGTTTTTGCATTGATAATTCTAACGTTGTTGTCTGTTTCGGGCACCGACGAGTCGAACCGAGCGCGAGGGTCACGGCAATTTATGGCCTGCCCTTTCATTCAGGCGACCGACTCTCACAGGCGAGCAATGATAAATATGGGAATTCAGCGTTTTGCTGTTGAACAATTTTCAACGCACGAATGTAAAAAGTCGTAAATGCTTCGGAAAATGGAGCGGTATTTACGAGAGGTCAAAATCAGTTCAGTTAAATCTAGTTCCTATTGATGACATACTCTCCGTACTCAAATGTTGCTGACAATAGAAAGGAATGAGAAAAATAACATCTTTGATGACTTCAAAAAACCTGGATGCTTTACTTTTACAGAACATGTTTCGAAATCACCGCAATATTATTCATTTTGGGTCTAGAGATGGCAGAGATGGGCTTTAAGAGCGGCATTGATAGATTTAAAAATGTTCCGGTAGAAAAAGCATTGAAAATGTCGTATATAGCAAGGATTCGACGCGAAGAAGCGCAGAGAAGAAAGCGCGCTCTAATCGAACGTTAGATAGCAAAAAGTTGCGGTACTGCCTCTTTAGATGATTGCGAATCCTAGTCTTTCGCACTCTTCAGTTCACCTAGCGGATTCTGACTCCCAAAAAGATGGTAGTGAGCTCTCGATCTTCAGAACGATTCCCTTTTCACGAATCTGATTATCGTATACTTCAATTTGGCAGCGAAATCACCAATTATAGGAAAGAAAGCGTGCTCGAATCGAATGAATCACCCTACTGCCAATCGCCGTTTATTTTTAGAGAGTTTCAAAAACATTTAACAAGCATGCACATGCATCAGGCATCTTGGGAATTCTATGCGGTACAAAATCATAGAAAGCTGTAGCAGTGAGTTGTGACCAGCTCTTACTCTTACAAGGCAAAATAAGAAGATAATAGAAGGGAAGCTAGGAAGAAGGAGTTTACAATGGAATAAAGAAAGTAGATAAATTCTTATATGCAAGGATAGAAGGCAATAAAATGTAGGCATGGCTAAAAAGCACGATTACTCTGCAAAATGCAAATAATATCAAAAGTTCCCGGAGATTTTTAAAGTTTTCAATGAAACCTAGGTTTGAGGAAAGGGGAAAGATTCATGTGCCTTGTTTGAGATCAAGAACTGTGCAAAAATTTACGGTGCTCTAAGAAACGTAGTTCTTGAATGCATTCAAATAAATTCTGTAAGCTGCGGAATTTACCCAAAAATTGACGGGCATTCCGGTGGCAAGCCAATAGCTCAATACATGATTGAAAAGATTGTTAAATAAGCAAATTTCAAAGAAACAATCAAAGCGAACTATTCTTACCACAAACATCAAAATCTGCAACCACAAGATGTGAGATACTTGAGAATCAATGGTTCAAAGTCTGTTTAAAAGGTTAATACTATTGATGACGAGCACAAGCGAGACGACGCGACACTAATTTCGGTTAAAAAAAAGTTGGATATTTGATTTGCACTTGTTTAACTACACCTCTGTCTGGATATGGCTACAACAATAAGATCCTTTTTTGAATGTCATGTGACCCTTTTCATTACCATGAAATACAAAACATTCACTATGAATGTATTTTTGTTCATCTTCGTCAAAAATGTAAACATCGGAAAAATCAAGCTTTCCAAAAATCATTGGACTTTCGTATGTGGTATTTCGAAAAAATAGTCTAATCGTAGCCTAGCTCCAAAATTTGATTCTTCATCTGCCGTTTTCTAAAAATGAATGAAATGAAAATGCTGTTTAGAGTCACATTAAACCCCAAATAATAATGTATAACATATATAATAATCTATAATAATAATTTATGCATATAATCTCCCCCTAAATGATAATTTGTCCATAATAAATTTACATCTATGATCACTTACATTACTTTATCTTTTACTGACAATCTTGGGTAGGGTAGGGTAGGGTAGTCTTTGTTTATAGTATTTTGAAAGGTATGTCTTGGATATGAAAATGAATAAATGGTCATATATATGGGTGCAGACACAAATTACACATTTATAGTATTGCTTGTTTAAATATTTTGCTGCAAAAAAGTTATGGACATTGATTTGTATGGAAAAACTCGAAGCAAAGGTAAAAAATGGTAACCCATGGTAATGCTCTCGACTAAAGCAAACGGCAATTAGGAATTCACATGGCAACGTTTCACCCATAACCAGTGCGTGCCGACTGACGAGCAAACACCAATGGGTTGAAAACAGCTTGATAAGGCGATGATTAGACCATCTTAAAGCTTAAAGTGATAAGAAAGCGAAGGCTCATGCACTTTCTGACAGAATTGAGCAAGCAATGCTGATTGAGGAAGGCCATAGCTGATGGGATTTCCTCTACTAAAGAGGTCAGTGAAAAACTTCATCAATCTGACTAAGGAAGCATTTTTCAGAAAAGACAAGCTGAGTACGCTTTTCTAAGGGAAAATGCCTTTAAGATTGGGGTTAAAAAATGGAAAATTTTGAAAAATTAACCAGCAACAAAATAAAGTGTATGTAGTGAAAAATGTTAATTTTTTCGTACTAAAAGGAGTTTGGTAATTTAAATAGTATAATATTAATAATAATGGCATAGTTCAAACATTTCGTTTTGCTAACAAAGACTACAAGCTTGCCAATGGATACTACCTATGGATACTTACTACTTACTACTTACTGACCCTAAAGTCTATTCTGGACCATTGTCGAAATACAAGAGATGATAGAAACTTAAGTTAAACTTTTGTTTCTCTGTAATACATAAACCTATTCATTAGCAGGATATGAAGATGTTTTGAAAAGTAGAACTATATAAGTCGTATAAATATTACTGTCTGTAACACAGTGAATAATAGGATTTTTTGTGTTCTTTCTCATTTTATTTCATGCCACAATCTAATCAAACTTTCTTTCTACAACGTGCTGTGGATTTTCCCAAGTTCAAAATTCAAAACTCTATAGAGTGCTGTGGGCTTCCTCAGATTCAATCAATTTCGAAGAGATCAATTCCGTATTCTTCGTTCAAGGGAAGGAGCAAATGTAGAGGTAAACTTTACTTACTTATTTTACTTTCAAGCAAGCCATTCTCACTTAAATAATTTCAAAATTAAGCAAACATTTTCCGGCGAAGAAAAAACATCGAATATTACACCTTTGCTGAAGAATTAGAAACATAAATGGTAATGCTTATTGTCAATGTGATTATCCAAAACAAGTAATAAGACAGACTATTTTTTGCCCTCAAAATAGTATTGGTGTAACGATGACAAAGAAGACTATAGGCGAACTACAAATTATCTGAGGTTTCCCAAGCCTTGGCCGTTCTTTTGTCTTTGTTGTAATACTTATCCTTTGTCTCTTGTCGTGAACTTGATTGTATTACACGGCGAATTGCTATGCTCATGGAAGCATGAAGATCGGCGATCAAATCAGAATGCTCAAAAGTCTAAGGTTACCACGATAAGTGGGTGGCACATGACTTAACCACGATAAGGGCAATATGGGTCAGCTGCTAAGAAGTTACTTTTTCCTGGCTTTGATATAAGCACCGAATGTGCTAAAGAATTTTGAAGCCAGAAAAAAAAAACATGGAAATTCAAAGCACCTGGATCAGCTCTATGAAAATGAACTGCTAGAAAAAATCGACTCAAACTGACTTAAAAATTAACTGTAATTTACCTTTGGAAACATCACTTTCGAACTGACAGAATCAACATATTACTCAATTAAACTGAAGCAATTGTAGCATAGAACGTGATAAATTGGATATGTTCGAAAACAGCTAAAATTAGCTGAGAAAAAATATAAGAGCCAATCAAAAGAGAACATCATTGCTTTAAAGTGCATGTCACTATTATTTTCAATACCACAGACCTCATTAACTCCTTTCTGAATAGGAATGAATCATGACCCTATTTTTATACGCCAAGTTAACGATAAAATGGATGTGTAAATGTGTGTTAGCACAGTTTGTCAGCTAAATCGAAGGGAGAAATTATCAACGATAAGGCTGGGGGGGGGGGTAGGAGGAGGAGAATGTAGAATGCAGCAAAATCAACTATGATCCGACTATATAAAATGAATGTGTGAGATTGTAATTAGCACTCATAAGCTAAAATTCGAATGAAGTGATAAAATAGTGCAAGATATTCTTCTTAGAAATAAAAGAATGAGGAAAAACTTTTCTTGAAATCCAATTCAAAAATGATTAACTTACAAAACAGTGCTCAAAACGTTTTTATTTGCTTTTCGTTTGCTTGTCCTCAATCACAACAAATCGTTGTTTTTGGACTTTCTCTTTGAAATTCCTCTTGGTTCTGTAAAGAAATAATAAGCCCTACGAGAAAAAGCAAAATTGAAAAAAAACTGTCATGATACTGATTAAAATCGAAAACGAAGAGTAGTGAATAATTATTGTGGAAAAAAGCGAAATTTTTGATACAAGGACTCAAAAAATGTCTATGACTAGTTGGCAAATAGCCAACCAATCAAAATCTATTCAACAAAAAGATGAAAAAGCACGCAAAATAGTACTTCCACACTACGTTTGGATTTTTTGAGTTCTCATAGACTTTACACAAACTCAAGTATGACTAAATTTTAATGTAAACATTGCTCATGAGTTCCACAGATGTTCCCTAGTGCTTCCCATTAAAATCATTTGAAAATTTCCAGTGTAAAAAGGGGCAGTTTCATTTTTTGTCGCCACTGGCTTTGTTCTGGATTTTATTTGGTTTTACATTGGAAAACTCATGAATTACTTTTCTGACAATTTATTGTAGGTTAATTATTTCTATATGTTTTCAAATATCATTTACATGCAATTTTGAAAAAGAGATAAAAAGATTGAAAATCGTTTTTTGAATAAAAAAAATTTGTGTTTAATATTTGAAGATAGATTTAAGCAAAAAAAGACTAAAATAAGAAAATAAAGAAGAGACTAAAGAAAATAAGAAAATAAGAAGACTGAAATTCGTTTTTTGAGACAAAAACTTGTGCAAGCTAATGAAATAAAGTTTTGAGAAAATTACAATGTATTCTCAAAATTTGACCTCCTCCCCTCCCCCCACAAGGCAAGTGCACTTAAAAGAAAACTTGTGTTAAACTGCGCGCATGCGTTGCACAGAGATTCATTTGCAGCTTAGGTATCACGGACCGGTTCAAACTAATTTCATTATGTCTAATTAAAGCGGAAAAAACTGGACAATTGCTAGGTTTTCTACAGCCGTGGTTGAACTGATGAAGAACTTGATGCAAGGGTGGATGGTGTTGATTCAGCTTTAAAGGGAGATAAAATAGGATAAATTCTTTGAAAAGGGTGTAGAAGTTCTCCATGGTAACATTACGTCAAATCTTAGTAGAAAAAATAAAGAATAAAGGTAAGGTGAATATTACACATCACAAAAAAGCTTGACTAAGCTACTTGCGTAAATTATGTTTTTTTATGCATACTGTGGTATCCTAGGTATAAGAAGGATGTAATTATGAAAAACATGTGATAAGAAAAAAAAGGAGACCGAGGATGACTGCAAGAGTGCAAACACCTTTTTTGCTACAAACATTTGGGACTTTGACCCTCAAATAACATGCTATAAACCACTTTGGCACACCTAAAGAGTAGTGATAAGAAAATTATTTTGAAAAAACATGCAAATTAATAAAATTTTCGGCGGATAATAGAATCAGAAAAGAAAACACAAAACAGTGAAATAGAAGCTAGTATCGAGCTGATGTAAATAAATGAGCTAGGAAAGCGCCTGAAGACATATGAAGGGAGAGGGAGCAAGGGGGGGGGGGAGGCGTAGGTCAAAAAAGATGATCATAAGGAAATTTATAAGTCGAATATTTTTGAGCTAGACAAGTACAAGCGCCAATTCACGTCTTTAATACTACAACTGTTATTATTCATAAACTCAGGGCATTTTCAAAAAAGCGAAACTCGAAATTTACTGAGAAAAAATAAACTTTTGAAAAAAATTTCTAGTGTATAGATTGAACAAAAACAAAATATACCAAAATAACCACTGATGAAGTAAACTTCAGTATTTTCGTGGAGTAGTCATGCACCCAGATTTTTGAAAAACTTCAAAGGGTAATAAATGTCTACTGCTTTTCGCTTTGATAATGACGAATGTACATTCCACGTCAAAAAATATAATTAAGATAATGTCACGACAATCTAAAAGAGAAAAAGTCTACATAGCAGCAGCGGCTTCGAAAAAAGAACAGTTGGCTTCAGGGCGCTATGTCACACAAAACGATTTGCCGGCGGGGGAAAGAGATCAAGGAACAGGGGGAGGGGGGGGGGGCAAATGTGAGGAAATGAAGGGGATGAATGATTTTCAGATTATTTGAATAATTGTTAGAGAAATTGTTCACAATATCATTGAACAAATCGTAGAGGAATGGACAATAAAGTCATCGAACAATCAATGTACTTATTTGTTGGGGGAGGGGGGGGGTGAATTGTTAGTCAAAAAAGGTACACAAACAATGTGACCGCCAACGCGAAATTAGGCGTAAAGTACACATCGGTACTAATCATATGACGAGCACTGAGTCTCTCTCTATTCTCTCGTTAAATTATTTATGTCATGACGATGGTCATGACATAAATAATCGTAACCGCGAGACCAGCTGATGACCATGGAGAGCGGATCATACGACCCCTTGGACAACGACGATCAACGTCGTCGTTACGTAAAAAGAAAACAGACACTTCGATACGTCGATTAGGGTCATATCAGACGAGTTGCTGATTACGAGACTGATCGAAGTCTCGAGAAAAACATAGGAGTTAAGAAAAAGCAGCACTAAGTCTGCTGATAACGTTCCCGAGCCGAAATTTTGAGAAAACGAGGGGGAAATAGTACGAGTTGTCGCGGCGAGAAAATATATGGAAAATTTACAAGGAGAGATGAGTAAGACGGACGGTTCCAGCTTGGAAGTTTTGGGTTGGACACAAAGATCTCGAACACCTGCTTTTTCTCCTGCTATTTCCAGCAAGTTGTAAATTATGAATTATGGTTATAAAGTTTTATTTAATGGCTAAAAGTAAGCCCCATAAGTCTACTAATCGATAATTTTTTTTACTGGTCTGATCCGAATTCAAATGCTAGATCTTAAAGTAATTATATCTTTATTAACATAGATTGGTCTCCAAGGAGCTCATAAAATACACATATCAAGAAAGAACAGCTGGCCAGAAAATAGAAAACTCCTCCCCTTGCGCAAACTCCGCCCCTTCCTGGCCTGACCCGTGGCTTTTGATCTACTTAGCATACAATTAGCCTCCAGAGTTCGAACTTTTCTTTCTTTCTCTTTGGCGCATCAAAAGCGCAACTTAATAGATACATACCATGCTTTTGCTATATATAAGCTGCTCTTTGGTTCTCCTAACCACCAGCCAGACGATTTGCGATTTTTGAGACCACAGCGAAAACAAAAAGCCAGTTAACCTGCATTTTCAATTAGACGGCTAAGATGTTTTTCTACATGCACGTTTCTGTTCGGAAGACAAAATAGGCATTCAAAGGAGCCATTAGAAGCTAGGAACACGAAGAGTTGCAAGGATATGTATTTTCTCAAAGTAAAGATATACCCTTCTGTCGTCAAATATTCATCTATTCAGGAAAGTGACAAATTAATTAGTTCCCGGAAGTAATTTCACTCACTGAAGCTGTGTTTTCAGAGCCCTTCGGTTGCAGAAATCAAATAATCGCTAATGTTTTTCATTTTTAATGACATCTATAGCGGAATTATCCTATTTTTTACCTACTTTTTGGGAAGGGACAAAGACTAGAATTCAGCAATCTTACAATAGAAGACAAGCTTTCTGTGTTGTTCTTCCGACTTTCCAACAACTTTTCAACTATAGAGTGATTGCATAATTTTTTTGGCCTGCATGAAAAAGCCCAATTAATAAACTTTGACCTTTGATATTTGACATCAATTTCAGATTCGAGGCCTCGATCAATTCCTCATCCTGCAGTTATTTTAGAACGAAAAGTACTTGACAAAAGCTGTGAGATCAACTTTGCCTTCCAGCGGATTCTTCAGGCTATCTACTGAAACAAAATCCTCGAACTTGTTAGGATGCTAAAGCAGAATGAATGGGGAAATTCGATTACCTGAAGGATTTGGAGATCACTAGGAATGACAAAAAAGGATAAGCTGCTTTGCATTTATTCAGTCGTAAACTGCATCAGGAGGTTGTATGAGAAGGTCAAGAAAGCGGAAGAAACCAATGTGTTGAAATAATTGTTATCACAGTTATCCCAAAAAAAACCCTCAAACCCAAATATTATCAATCACGCGTTATAATTAATCACTTTTCACTTATGATTGAAAGGAGATACACAGAGAAAGTATGATGAGTTACCAATGACGAAAGATAGAATCAACAAAATAATGAGGCATCCCACCAACAAAAATTTGCAATAATCAAGGATCAGTTACAAGATTATAAATATATGAGGTTTGATTGCGTGATTCCAGTTGTTCTTAGATCATGGGCCGTGAATTTTTGATAAACACATGTTTGGATAAAGTGACGGCATGACGTGGGGTTGTTGATGTTTAGAGCCCTATTCCGAGGGCACGTGTGCATATAACAGAAATCAAAGATAAGAGAACATTTCATCTATTAATTTGAAAAAAATCCCTCAGAAAAGCATTCAAAAATTTGAAAATAAATAGAACACAGTCACAAAGTGAGCGCTATAAGTAAAAATGTAAATTACTGGCTAATTTTTGAGCCGTAAAAAAGTTTTGTTATTGAAGGGATTTCGAATTCTTCACTCACCGTAGTCCACAAGAATACCCGACTACATATTGTACAAAAAAATGCCAACATTGCATAGTCGGACTAGGTGGAGCCGAGGGGGGGGGGGGAGAGAAGAGAGATCACGGAATTTTTATGGCTACTACATAAGTTATAGAATTGCGCAAGTATGTTCTCACCTGAAAAAACTATTATAATAACATTTGAAATTTGTGGCAGTTTGTGGGAGAATCTTCTTTGGCGCATGGCTGCCGGTTTTTCTAGCATTCTGGAGTACAAGCAGGGTGGACTTCGTTTTTGGGGCGGAAAATCAAACGGGATATTGTTTTTGTGGCCAAAAATTGTGACGTTTTTTACGACGTTTCGTTTTTGAAAGGATTTTTACGTTGCTGAGATCAAAGAAGGCTTCGTAAAATTTTGCGAAAATCAAGGAGACGTCGTTTTCAAGAAGCCTAGAAACGAACTCATGCCAACCCTGCTTTTCCTCTCCTCTATCCTAAAACCTTACGAACTGTCACTGCAGCACTGGTAATATAGCTGGAGAAATGATGTAGTCAGCACTGAGAAGTTCACTATTGAAAGCGATATTGAGCGCCCACAATTTCGAAAATTTTCAGTGTTATCAAATATGTAAACGGTTTCGCATTCTTTATACTCCTGGTTTACAAGCTAAATAAATACAGACAAGGAACAGAACATAGTTTTTTTTGCAAGGGGACATGTTATCGCGATTATCGTTCTTTGTTCACAGCTGGGCAGGGTTTGATGGAGTGCTTTAATGCTTTCAGTTCGTACTCCATGGACTTCAAAATAAGTCAGTTTGCTCATGGTTAATGTGAAATAGATATTTCGAAAGACAACAAAACACTTTTTGAAAATTCCTCCCAAATTATAAAACTATTAAGGTGTCTCACAATTTTTTTTAACTTTTCTCTAAATATCAGCATTTTTCGAGAACTGGGGCACTTACAAAGGGTACAAATACATTATAGTACTTCTGTATGTCTGAGCTACATGATCACATGCGTGGAGGAGCTCAGGACGCCTAGAGGCGAAGTTTGCCATTTTACACCATTCATTTTTTCCTTTTGTAGCCATGAAACAGATACAAAAGTGTACACTTGAATGTTCGATGTGTCAAGCATATGCTAGGATAACTGAGGAATTCCTAGATTTTTTGGGGCGGATGTACGATTTTTTCTGTAAACTTCGTTTTTGACTGCTAACAGATTTCAGCTCAAAACTTCACGGGGAGCGGTTCATAGCCATCTTATAGAGTTTGCTTTGCTTTGGCGAATGCTCAAGCCACATCAATCGAAGGAAAGATACAAAAAGACGGTTGTGGTTAAAACGGTAAAAATTATAACGCACCCTGAATTTGTTGCAGCTTTCTTTAAAAAGTACCTATTCGAATGATACGTACATAAGCCTTGAAAAGTATCACAATTCTCATTTAGAAACGTTCAAACAATCTATCAAAGAACGTGTCAATTACTTTCTGCAGTACATATGTATCAAAAGCTGCAGTTATCGTAAATTTCAGAAATTGTGATAAAAAGAATGGAAAAATATGAAATTACGGTTATTCCAGAGAGCATGAATTCCGAAAAGCTATATCAAAACCGAACTATGGGAATGTGATAGACGATTCATAATCTAAACGAGCCAAATTCAAAAAACCACTTCTGAGTGTTTTTCCTTAGTAGCTTGCATTGTTGTATGGCAAAAATATGTTTACCTCAAGTGGTTTTGGAAAGTACATGATTTCTTCTATCTAGTAAAGTAACAAAGCAAAAAAATTGGAATCTAAGAAAAAACCATGAATTTTTTAATTTTTGATGCAGAACTTATGTACCAACCTAAGAAACAATGTGCAGAGCTCGGAAGCCTTTCTGTTCTTTTTGAGGGGGATCAAAGCAAAAATTTGAACCAAAAGACTCGTTGAATAAGAATTTTGTGAGAAAGACCACTTATCTTAGCGCGTTGCAAAACTGCTGCGAAACTTTGCCCTTGCCTACTATCAGTATGCTCGTAAATTGGCATTGGTGTCCTCTTTTATACTTTGATGCTGTCATTTCGTGAAAAGTGCAAGCCGGGAATGTAAAGCTGAGATGGTAGCAGGTTTGCAGAATTGTTCTCGCTGTTAGAAGGGGTCAAAGAATACAGATTTCAGAAAGCATAGGAAAAATTTATAAGTGAGCTGAAGTCATTTCGTGAAAAATGCAAGCACGGAATGTAAAGCTGAGATGGTAGCAGATCTCTAAGCAAATAAATTCCTAGACTTTTCGTATAATGTTAAATTCGGAAAACTTGCTACTCAAAACAGCCCATATGCTTTATCCTTAGCTGAGAACTTAACTCGAAGCTCTCGCCCATTACCGTACCCATTCTTACCAGACCAGTCTTGAAGCATGGTATTGGGCGCGAAACAAGGATTGAACTTTTTGGTGGTGAGTAAATATATTTATAAGAGTTTTTCTTGTGAGCAATTACTAACTTCGGACCCCTCTAATCAGTTTTCACATAAAATGCCCATGCCAGATTAGCTTGGATAGTGTAATGCGAGCATAATTGTTCTCAAAAAGCGGCTGATCAACCCTATCACCGCAAATGCATCTTGAACTTGCGTAAAGACGATATTTTTTCTTAGAATGAAGCCAAAATGAGCATTCGCGCTGATTTTCCCGTTATAAGCTTTTTTAGTACATTTTGCAGAGCATGCATAGACCATTGCTCCTTTGTGAGCTACCGTTGAGTCATTTGGTTATTATGCCTATTGCACACCATGCGCGCTACCTGACGACTTTTGAGTTTATCTGCTCATTTTCAGTGATTTATCTTGTGCTCTTGCCTTAGATTTCATTACTTGTATTACTTTCTACAATTCGTTCCGTTAGGCCCCGGACAGACTTCACGCGATTTGATCGTCGCCACTGAATCGCTACGAGACAACTGTTACAACATCATTCCATGCCGATCAACTTGCATCGGTTGTGATACTTTTCCAGCCCGAAATTTTTGAATGTAAAATGAAAATGAATGGAAATCGCGGCGATTGAATCGGACGATCGAATCGCGTGAAGTCTGTCCGGGGCCTTAGAAAAGGTTTTACTGAGGGGTTACAAGGGAGTCGTTGGTTGCCGCGCATAGTGTGCAGACTCACATTATAGATTACAAATGGCCGGGGGATGAACCTTTGGTGCTCACCTTTGAAAAGTGTACGAAGGACAGCACCGGCCTAGTACGACGCTGGTAGGTGAGTAAATGAATCTTCTTATTTTTGAAAGTAGTTTAGACCTGATCGATTGATTTAGTTTTGATTTAGTCAGTTTGAACATGTCAGGCAGCTTGGTTGTGGAACATTTCCCGAATTGACATGTTTGTCATGTGTGACAGGGTTGATCGTGGGGTCAAGCTTGGGCGGGGGGGTCGTATTGAGGTAAGACTAAGGGGAGGGGGGGGTTGTTATCAAGAACCAAATTCGTTCAGAAAATTGAGGAGATACTACGATCAAGGCGAAAAAAGCGCTAGTCCGGTAAACAACGTAACTTCACCGGTACTGAAGGAATGATGAACAGCGAACTGATCAATTCCACAATCAAAGTTTCAGACAAAATTCGAAACTTTGTCTCTTACCCTGGCATATCATAAAATTACCAAGGAAGCTTGCTGTGTAGAACGGGTACTATTTCCGTAATGAGCATGTTAAATTACCTCTATGAGCTCCAAACACCATTCTACTGCATTTTTTAGTGTTTCTTGACGTAAAAAGCGTGAATTTCAAGCATGATTAGCTTGGTTGCAAAGTCAAAGAAGTCAGCTTTCTTACTCTCACAACAAAGTAATGTTCCTTACCAGTCCATGCTGAAAAATAGGCTTCACATTGCTTTCAGATGGTGAAGTAAGAAGTGCTACCAAAATTTCACGGCGGGTTTTTCACCTTGAGTGGTTCACTCTACGGATTACCACAAGCCCGAAACAAGTCGAAACAAACTCAGACGCTTGCTGTAGAATCTTCGAGGTTTGTGGCTAGCGAATCACATAAAATTTGAGTAAAAAAAGAATAAAGAAGTATAATGGGGTTAAGCACAACTCCTCGAAAGGTCAGGCTGTCGGGCTTTTCCTGACCCCCTTAACTTGGATATTGAATCAAAAGAGCAAGAAGAGGCTTTGAGCTCAATACTCATGCCATAAAAGAAGCGATGGAGCTAATCACTCCACCCCTGTCGGAATTATAGCTATGAAAAAAGGGCTATCCACATGCAAAATCTGACGTCAAATCGTGTGTGCCGCATAGTTGTGCAATCACAGAAAGCCGGGGCTACAGACTTCCAAAAACGAGAATCTCCAGTAAAGGCTGATCTCCTTCAAAATGTCACAGCCTGGAACCCTGTGAAGTGGAGGGGCTGTTTAGGGGTTTTCACAGAAGGGAGGGGTCGCTTCTATAGGACTTGTGCCTAACCTCTTGTTCAACGGGGGGAGGGGGGGGGGGGGGAGTGATGAAGTGATTTCTACAACATCAGCCGACGCTTCCCCACCTACTTTCGCAATCAACTCCCAACTCTGGCTTCTTGTAAAACCAGAACGCCTCTTTTAAACGTTTCTAAACATTCTAAACGTTAAATTTTTCTTTCAAAAGTTCTTAGAGTTCTGAGCGTAAAAGCATAAAGGTGGGCTACCATATTTTACATAAACAAAGCAGGCACCTCCACCAGAAGCTACATCCTTTTGGACTTTTGATAATGGTACAAGTGCACGATGTGTAACTCACTAATGTGGCTTGAAACGTAAGCTTTCGCACAGAAAAGTTTCAAGATTTGTTTGAACTCTATGTTTGGGTTCGGGCCATAGTTGCGATAGGGGGAGTGATGGATCTTACCCCCTTCACTTTGAGGCCAAACTCCCGATGACCCCCTTCACCTGGGCTGAGATTGGTATTGTACTCTGAGAATATGATAAAAATCGTTATTAAAACGTTTTGCAGGCTAAGTACCTCAAACAACAACTACACTCATAAATTTACAAAAGAAACGGTACTTGTGTTTATTTATATTATTTATCTATCCTCGTAGCATTCATTTGGAGAGCAGAAAATTAGGACAAAAAAGCTGTTGGTTTTTGGAGTACATAAAATCCCTCATATCTCGCGACACAGAAGACCTAGAAAAAAGTCGACGGTCTACGTCAATTCTCCATGATCTCAGCTTTCGAATGGTATACAGCATGTTAGGGCTTCTTTGCTTCCCGGCTCTAAAAATCATTTGCTCCGGTAACCGATAAAAGCCAATACATTGGTGGAGCTGGGTGGAGCAAGCTAATAGTAAATATCTCCACCCCATTTTTGAAAACTGGTTAGTTTTTACGCCCAGCAACCTATATACCAATCGAAAGCTCAGGAAAAGGGGATTCGACCTAGGCCGTCGACTTCTTTCTAGCCCCCCTCTACCGAGAGATACACCGCATTTTATCTGAAAACATAGTCATTTTCAGCAGCAGATTTCTGCCAAATGAAGACCTAATCACTGCTGATTATCTTCCTATGTTAAAGAGCAAGTCTTCATTAACAAACGTAGACTGTCGACTTTGTCGTAGAATTCATTTGGAGAGCAGAAAGTGAGGACACAAAACCAGTTAATTTTTTGAAGCACATAAAATCCCTCATATCTCGCGACACAGAAGACCTAGAAAAAAGTCGACGGTCTACTTCAATTCTCCATGATCTCAGCTTTCGAATGGTATACAGCATATTAGGGCTTCTTTGCTTCCCGGCTCTAAAAATCATTTGCTCCGGTAACCGATAAAAGCCAATACATTGTAAGAGCGAGGTGGAGCAAGCTAATAGTAAAAAATGTGCTGTGGATTGACATCGTTATCAGCACTAACTTGAACGCGAGCGAACGCGTGTATTTAAAAGTGCTTATCGTTGTTATATGTTTATGTTTTTTGGTAAAAAATGCGCTTTTGATTGACAGTTGTTCCATCATTATCAGCACATACTCAAAAAACTATGGGAGATTGGTGAATTTCCACACCTTCACACAAAAACCTGCCCATTTCTGGAATCTATACTCTGTAAAACTTGTGCTGAAGAAGGTCACGTTCGTGAAAACGCTCTAGACTCACCTAATTGTAGAGAATGGTTGGTTTCAATAAATCAAAAACTTTGAGGCATTCAGAAGAACAACATGTTATTAAGATACAATACCGCTCATAATTCGTCAAAAAAGTCGCCGAACTGCGGCGCACTCCGCCACACTCCGCCACAGTGTGGCGGAGTGTGGCGGAGTGTGCCGCAGTTTGGCGACTTTTTTGACGAATTATGAGCGGTATTGTATCCTTCAATGTTTTGGAAAGGTTGGCAGTTTGAAGAAGAAGCGGCAGGCAGACTACTTCACAAAATCGCAGATGACTCGCATGTGTTCCAGTTCAACAGCGAGGAAGAAGGAGAATCTTACGCCGACGAATATGTTGTCGACATTGATACAGAGTTGACATTTGAGCGAAACTCTCTGTTTCGTACATCAGAAATCCAAGCAGACTGCCTAATTTCAACGAGGAAATGTCCAAGAAGTCCATTGCTGATCTTCAGGTTGCTGAAGAATTCAAGGCTGCTAAACTCACAAACATGGATATGAACAAAAGGAAGGTGTTAGTACAAAGCATAGCTACTGCTCTTAATCCCGACTGGAGTACGAACTTGATTCTATGCTTTATGCTGCTGGAAGTATCTCACCTTGTGACAATATGACCTACGATATTGGAAAAAAACCAACGCGCAGCATATATCTACTTTTTTCGGCTATTCCGCAGATGCTGTTGCAGAAGAAGTTGAGCGGCTTTCTCGTCAGCTAACAAGACGTAAGCCAGAGGAGGTGAAGCCAGAGTTCGACAAGGCCCAAAAAAGTATGCAATATTTACTTCCCATATTGCGAAAGCATATGCGATCTGGCTCTTTCCCCATTACTTACCGCAAAAATCTGATGGGCTTATTAGCAAAGCTAGTTCCCATTCCGACTAGCACGGCAGAGGTGGAGAGGGGATTTTCTATCTACTCTGTTATTAGAACGCAGCGCAGAACTCGTACAACGGTGGAGCATCTAAGCAATTACTTAAGATTTGTCAACCTTCTATTGAACATATTGTTGTCTAAAAACTTCATTTAAATGATTGCTATAAGTGGTCCAGACAGGCTGTCATCGTACGACTTTTTGAACTATCCTAAAAGATGGTTTGAAGAAACTGGTCAGCTACCTGCTGACTTCCTGGTGCTACCAGAGGGCCAGGAAAAAAAAACACAATGCGCTTAGAAGGAGAAAAACGTTTCAAATCCATTTTCGACTCAGAACGCCTTTTGACGCAATTCTATTTCTACTCCGATGATCTTTTGAAGGAAGAAGAAGATCTTTCAGGCAGCGATTTTGTTGTCTCTGACGTTAGCGATAGTGATATTGTTGATGATGACCTGCAGGAATTGTAAGTTGTTCCTAACTTGTACATCTTTTGGGATACCTTATTGCTTTCGTTTTTTGTCGATGCAATGAAATAGGAGCACAGATCTTCATAAAGTCAATTTTTTGATTTATTAGGTCGTCCAGAAAGTTTTTGCACACGAATTTCAAAATTCATAACTTCTGATTTTTCCAACCGATTTGACTGCTTTCAATTTTATGTGAAAGGGTAAGCCATGCTCTTTATAATGACATCTCAGCTGCTTAGTAATGGTCATCTGTTGCGTAGATAGGAGCTGTAGAAGAAAATTAGTCAAAATTCGAATTTTCTGTGTAGGGTCATAAAAAATCGAAAACTTGCAACAAAAACCGGAGCAGTCGGTATTGTAGGTTCTTTCACCAGCTCTTTCTAACAGTGCAAAGTTTGCGCCGATTGAGCGTCTCTACGAAAAGTTACAATTTCCCTGAAAAATGCCAAAATAAACCAGAATCATCCTTTTGTATTACTTGCTCGAAAATCGTAACTTTTCATAGAAACGTTCAATCGGCGCAAACTTTGCACAATTAGAGAGAGCTGGTGAAAAAACCTACAATACCGACTGCTCCGATTTTTGTTGCAAGTTTCCGATTTTTTATGACCCTACACAGAAAATTCAATTTTTGACCAATTTCCTTCTACCGCCCCTATCTGTGCAATAGATGCTCATTAGTAAGCAATTGATGGTCTTTATAAAGAGCATGACCTACTCTTTCATATTAAAATAAGAGCGGTCCAATTGGTTAGAAAATTCAGAAATTATGAATATTTGGATTTGGTGCGAAAGAACTTCCGGTTCAACCTAATATTATTTTTTTTTAATTCTGGAAAATTTTTTTTTCAATTTGTACCTAAATAAGGTACAAATTGGAGCACTTCATACCACGCTTTTTTACCTTTTCTCTCTCCCTCCCCCCCCCCCCCCAGGCTCACATACCCCCTTCACCTGGAAGGTCGGAAACAGCCGAGACCCCCTTCACCTGGGGAGAGCCCGGCTCCCCCTATCGCACCTATGGTTCGGGCTGAGGATTGTAAGGATTGAATTTTAGACATTCATGCTGATGCAAAATTAATGCATGCTAGTCATGCTACGACGGCACAACGAACAGAAATTAAGAAACATATATTAGGTTGTCCCGAAAGTTCGTTCGCACCATTTTCAAAAAATCATAACTTCTTTGCATCATAATGACTTTGCGCAATTTAAATTTTACAAGAAAGCGTAAAGCATGTAGTTTCCAATGGTCCCCTGGCGACTTTCCAGCATGTTCAGATTGCAGAGATAAAAATAAAAGAACGAGAACATCCGAAATTCGGAATTTTTGAGCAAAAATTGTAAAAACCTAGAAACTGCGCGATAAAATCCGGAAAAGCCATTATCCTAATTTTTGTTATATTTGATTACTAACTGGGTTGAGTTTGTGCTGATCGAGCTCTTCTTTCAAAAGTTATGATTTTTTGAAAAAAATTCCGAAAATTCACTTCCCTAAGAATTCCTAAGAAATTGATTTTTCGGCATTTTTTCCAAAAAATCATAACTTTTGAAAGAAGAGCTCGATCAGCACAAACTCAACCCAGTTAGTAATCAAATATAACAAAAATTAGGATAATGGCTTTTCTGGATTTTATCGCGCAGTTTCTAGGTTTTTACAATTTTTGCTCAAAAATTCCGAATTTCGGATGTTTTCGTTCTTTCATTTTCATTTCTGCAATCTGAACATGCTGGAAAGTGACCAGGGGACTTTTGAAAACTGCATGCTTTACGCTTTCTAATAGAATTCAAATTGCGCAAAATCGTTATGATGCAAAGAAGTTATGATTTTTTGAAAATGGTGCGAACGAACTTTCGGGACAACCTAATAGATACTTGATAGAGCAAAGCAAGCTAAAGAAGTTGGCCTTGATACCACTGTACAATGATTCGAACGTGTGAAGTCTGAAGTGAAGTCTCAGAAAATTCGAAAATCCTAAAGATCGGACATCCACAGAAAAATCTTCCGAACCTCAAATGCTGCTTATCTCTTCACATGAAAGATTTATACGTACACGTTTATCTTCCTATGGCCGCAATCGAGAAAATGAGGGTTGACATGCCTCTGCCAAGGCTAAGCCTGGCCTATTGTTACATAGATAATTCTATACAAACAAGTCTTCTACAATCAAAAACAATTTTAGCACAAAAAAGAAAAGCGTTATTTTTTATTTCTGAATAATCTACGTCACTCAAATTTTGGCCATGGAAACAACTGTGCATATGAATGTTTGATGTGAAGAGCATTTGTGTGAGCTAGTTTGAGGTTTGAAGCGTTTTATGGACGAATTAGATTTTTGGGTTATTGTCATTAGCTTCAAGGTTTAACGGACCAATTTGGGTTGTTCTAACATCTTATATATAAAGCTGAATGTCTGTTTGTATGTCTGTATGTCTGTCTGTCTGTCTGTCTGTCTGTGTGTGTGTACGTATGTTCCGAATAGAAAATTCCATTTCTGAACCGATCCGGACCAAACTTGGCACACATACACTTCGGGCCCCGGCGCGTGTCATAGGCTACTTTTCGTCATCGATCGATATCGATTTTATCGATTTATCGATTTTTTTGCTGAGTTCACCTACGGGGCTGGGAGTTGGCACAGGGGGGTAATCGAGCATGGGGATTCCGAATACAATATTGGTTTTCGGGATTATCGATTACTTTCATCGATTTTATCGATTTTTTTTGCAAAGTTTGAGCTAGGGGGCTGGGAGTTGGCACAGGGGGGTAATTGAGCATGCTGATCATCCCCAAGAAGGGTAATCAGCATGCTCGATTACACCCCTGTGCCAAATTCCAGCCCCGTAGCTCAAATTTTGCAAAAAAAATCGATAAAATCGATAAAAGTAATGGACGATCCTGAAAACTAATATTATGTTCGTAATCAGCATGCTCGATTACCCCCCTGTGCAAAATCCCAGCCTCGCATGTCAAAATTTACAAAAAATCGATAAAATCAATAAAAGTAATCGATAATTCTGAAAACTAATATTGTATTCGGAATCCCCATGCTCACTTCCCCCCCCCCTCCCTGTGCCAACTCCTAGCCCTGTAGGTGAACTCTGCAAAAAAATCGATAAAAATCGGTAAAATCGACATCGATCGATAACGAAAAGTGGACTGTGACACCCGCCGGGGCCCGAAGTGTATGTGTGCCAAGTTTGGTCCGGATAAGGCGGAGCCGGGTAAGCCAGCTAGTGTTATATATAAAGCTGAATGTGTGTATGTCTGTCTGTACGTATGTGCGGAATAGAAATTTTTATTTCTGAACCGATTCGGACCAAACTTGGCACACATACACTTCGGGGCAGGGAGCGTGTCATAGGCTACTTTTCGTATCGATCGATATCGATCTTATCGATTTTTTGCAAAATTTGAGCTACAGGGCTGGGAGTTGGCACAGGGGGGTAATCGAGCATGCTGATTACAAATATATTATTGACAGGCCCGGGCGGAGCCGGGTTTGCCAACTAGTCAGCTAATAAAGTTCGCTTTGCTCTGTCAAGTACTATGTTTCTTATCACATTTATTTCTGAAAACTATAGAAAATCTCAGATTTACCTTTAGTGGAATTTTTCAAAATGAATGTCTATTTCTGATTTCCTGATAAGTCACATGTATCATAAAAAAGCATACAGAGCGTCTTGATAATATCCATCGAAAGCAAGAGAGTGATACAAGAAGGACAATATCAATTTTCAACATGCAAAGTGTTGTGCCTATAAATGGAACTTTATGCCATGCTAAGTAACTCAAATCGTTTTCCCTAGAGTTCGAAATGGAAGGATAATATGCAAAGGGTTCTTGGTATTCGACTCACGCAATTATTGTTCGATACGCTCAAATAGACTTATGCTTCTTCATAAAAGGTAAACATTCTTGTCTCTCTGCGTGCATCACAGTACCTCTCCCTATGTTATAATCAAGCGCAAGTTTAGCTTGGCTATTTCAAACCATATTACACCATTATTTACATTCAGCTCTACAAAGAAGAGACGAGTAGATGCTGACGCTCAAGTGAACTCGCACAAACTTCTACATTTGTTTCTAGAGAACTCTGGACACTATTGAATATTTTTGGCAAACGTCGTAATTCATGTATAGGTCGACAAAATAAGCTTAACACAGATAGTCATCTTTATTTTTATCTCCAGTACTTGAAAATCTTCAATAGTCGTATCAATATGAACATGTCGCAAAAAGGTTTGAATAAAAAAAATTACTTTGCCCAATCAGCCTTCGCTTTCTCCTTGTTCTCCTAAACCAGAGATTTTTATATATTGAAAATCTATGCTGATTTACATCAATGCATACCTCCTCCTTCATGGCGAATTGGTTTTTGTCGACGGTCTTCAAATTGGAACGGAAGTCCACCTTAGCAGCTTCCTTCTTCTTCAGCTTGTCGAATTTGCTATCGGTCTTGGAAACCTTCTTCAGGGTTGGCTTGACGCTAAAAAGAAGAGATCAATCAAAGAAAAAACTGGGAAAAGGTCTTCTCCAATTAGTTAAAAAAATTGCTTATTTAAAAAGGACATTAGTGATTCTGCATTTTGCTCCTGAAAAATATCACTTGCAACAAATCCTTGTGAATTTTTTACGGAAAAGGAGCTTTAAAAAAGGCAATTTTCAAGTGATTATTGAGAAAATTTTCCAATTTAGTTACCTATCCTACGTTTTTAGGTGCGCCAAATACAGTTTGCTTATCTGCTTCCCAATTTTTATTTCTTCAAAATACCACTAGCGGAAAACAATTTAGCGTATTTTTTCAATAAATGAGCCCCAAATATGGCAACTTTTAATAATTAAAAGCTCTTCGATAAAATCTTCTAAGCTACGTTTTTGAGAAATGCCCCAGCATGACGTTTTTTTTTGCTGCCTAATTTGTATTCTTGAAAATTACTATTAGCGGAAAGCAATCTACGTGATTTTTTTAAACAGAAAAACGAGCTCAAATATGGCAACTTTCAAATTTTCTGGAAAGCTTTGTCGAAATGTTCTTACGTACAATTTTCCACGAAGATCGTTCACAGCGATGGTCAGCTCATTAATTTCGAAGTCCTTCTGTCGTACGGTATAAGAAATGTCATAGTTTTCACTTTCCAGCTCGATAAGACGTTTACGCATTTGATTGTAGATGGATTCAAGATCGCCTGGAAAAACATCCGACTAATTTTTGACCACAAAATCTATTCTAAAATATCTCTTACTGGCTTCATCAAGATCTGGCAATGGAATGATTCTCTCCTGGAGAATACGTTGTCTTTCTTGTTCTTTTAACATCTGCTGCTGTTTCAAATCTTCAGCAGCTTTCATCATAAGAAGTTTCTAGAAGTTTTTTTTATAGGTTTCAATTTGCATACTGAAATTAGTATGGTCATACCCTCAGCTTCTTCTTCCTTTCAGGAGTCAAGAAACCTTTCTTGGCCTTCTTGGCCCTTGAGGCCTCTTCCAGCCGTCTACGCACTTCCTCCTTCTTGCGATTGCGTTCAGCGATCTTCTTTGCCTAAAGAATCATCGGGCAAATCAAGAAATAGATAAACTGAAGATGAACTGAAGCTTTTTAGAACTGAAAATGTGTAAGAACGAAAATTTGAACCCAATGCTTGAACCCAAAGAAATCAAACTGTTAGAGATTTCACGTGGACTTACCTCCGCCGTATCATTAGATATCTTCTGCAACATCAAATTTTTGAAATATTCTTTTCTAAAATTCTTAAATTCATACACACACTAGCTAGGCATCCTCGTTTCCGTGAAATAAGAGAAATAATTGTTATTGACTAGCAGTCTGCAAGTTCATTTGTAGACTTGAGGTCTTGAACCTTTTCTCATGGTATTCAAGTAAGTAGGTATGGTAACCACAGCTTTTTCTCCTCTTGTATTACTACAAACATTTTCCGAAACATCTCCAAAGTCAACCTAACAATACATTAACTATAATTGGGTAGAGATATGGAAAGACTGCAATATTCTAATCCAAAATCATCTGATTTATTTCATTATACTGATATATTTTGGTAGGGATCCCAGAACCTTATTTGCGGATGGAAAATTTCCATTTTTTCCCACTGATTTCATTTCTTATTCAATCTCTTTCTGCGAAACTGATTTGTCAAAATTTTTCTGATAAGCTAGTACTGGAGTTGAACCACCTCCTCATTACTTGAAATTTCCTGATGATTTTCAAATATTTAATGTTTGTCGAGTGAAAGAAAGATTTCAACCGTTAAAATTTTTCGGCTGCGGACAGATTTCATGGTTTGATTCTTTGAATGTCAGCTTTTTTGCTATACACAGAAGGTATTTCTCATTCTTCGAAAATATTTACACAACCAAAAGTCATATTAAATGAATGTGCCCGAATTAAATTTGCTGAGGGCACATGGCAGCGATATAAGCGGAAAGAGAACTCAAAAAGTGTTTTTTTGATTTTTGTTGCTAGAATTGCTAAAACGTCTAACTAAAATTCAAATATCTTTCGGTCTTGGTTTTAGACCTACTCTTTTTGATTAAGAGAATTTCGTAGCGATCGAATATCTCTAAGAATATCTACAAATTTTAATTTTTCAAAATCAACGTGTTGATTCCGTTGAACATTGATTTTCTAAGATATATTATGAAATACTACTTTTTATGTACATAACAATGAGCGTATCGCGTAAGATGATTAATTCGTATAAATATTTTTAAACTGATTTTTTCTATTTTTTGATGCAAGAATTTGTATCATCCTGAAACGTTGTCCAGTTGTTTCCTATATTTGGAAAATCTTGCAGTCTTTTCTTCCTTTATATACAGGGTGTCCGTAAAGTATGTATACACTGTTTGATCGTTAATATCTCGCTTCCCAAGAAGTCTTTTGCCTTGCTTCAGGTACCGTTTTGTAGAGCTGGCTTCAACTCAGATTTGCAGTATAGAACGAATCACCCATCTCTCTTCATTACTGTAAGATTACGGTGGAAACTTGAAACATATGGTGTCAATGTGGAAAGAGCTGCCGTTTCAAAATTTTTCAAAAAAATGTGAAAACTTGTGTAATAGGGTTGTTATGGACGCTGAGTTCAATACTCAACTATTCACAAGATTGCGAAGCTTTCTAAACGATGCAACCGCACTTTTTAGAAACATTGAAAAAATGGCCGCTACCTCTTACCTGGCATAACTCTTCAATGAAACATCACAATAAGTCAGAAACTTTATACTTAGAATCAGCAGCTCTAATTAGCCTAGTCTAGAAGTTTTCAGGCTGTTTTGTCTCCTTTCTGAAGCAAAATATGGCCTTTCATAGCCTAAAACCTTCTTTCAAATTTCTACCGTAATCCTACAGTAATGGAGAAAGATGGACGATTCGCTCTATACTGTAAACCTAAGTTGAAGCCAGCTCTACAAATGGTACCTGAAGCAAGGCAAAAGACTTCTTGGGAAAAGAGATATTAACGATCAAACAGTGTATACATACTTTACGGACACCCTGTAGAATGACAAAAAACGAATTGCCTTCTATTTCTTTGCAAGCAACATTCTCCTCGCTATGGAATTGTCAGAGAACAGAGTTTGGGATCTGTTCATTCCAATCCCAAGATAGCTTCTGTCACACCAATTTTTACCACTCGTCTTTCTACGAAAAAACTTTATCTTCAAGTCGAACCCATCATGCAGTGAGTACCGACGATAACGCACGAAAATCCGGCTCTACAGCTAGCTTTGGAGCACGAGAGCAAACAAATCTATCCGCGCACCAAGGCTACAGCTTGCAATATTTTTTGCAGGTGACAATTTCAAAGGATATAAAAGAAGAAAATAAAGTATTAGGAAATCGAGAAAGTTTCGCATTATATTCCTAAAGAATTCACTCTGTAAGTTTACGATGTGATATATTGAAAGTTTGATACAGTTATTTGAAGAAATTGACGAAGCCCTAAAGAACTGATTTAACCTCGTCTCAATTACATATCTTCTCAACGCCGAAACATGGATTTTCGAACCGAAGCATCATTGGGGTTAAATTCTTACTAATGGCAATGGGAACTGTTTCATGGGTCCGCGAAACGCTAAGATTTCAATCCACTCTATTGTTACTCTAAACTTTGCCTATCTCAGTAGAATTCTAATATATCTTAAGCCTAAGACTTCGCACCTGGAGTTAACTTACAACATTATTTCATGAAAATTACCTCTTCCTCATCGACGTCGTCACTGTGAGCGGCTTGTGCTCCGCCATAGCGAAGGGATGATTCTGGTTCCCAGGCCATTTCTAGAATGGATTTATGTGATATCAAAGAAGTCAAACTATTGCGCAGCTTAATGGTAGGTGCTCGGAAAAATGAGAAAAGGATGAGCAAATTGAAGTAAGATGTTGAAGACGTGACAATTTCGGAGATGGTGTAAGAAATTGTCCTGAATTTTTTCCCACAGTCAGAGTAAGATCAAGGCATGATATAAGCAGAGTGAAATCTCACTGGCTAAAAAGAGACTTACGTTAGCCAAAATTTTGCTTTTCAAAGATTCATACTCTTTATATACTAAATTTGAGTGTTCAAGTTGCTCGAAATAGGTTGAATAGATATGGAAGAGAAGGAAACTCGTAGCTCATGAAAATACTGGAATTGAACAGCTTGTCGTTACGCTGTGTGCAACAGCTGCGGCACTCCCATTGGCTACTGAGTACGGTAGTTTTGGATTTGTTGTAAAACATACCTTTGCAGTGATTTAAATGAGCGTCTTAGACTGAAAGCTCCGTAGGTCTCACTTTTTCAGTTGAGAAATGAATAAGCAGACATTAATTTTGAAGCGAGAGCTATTAAATCGAAATTCAGAAAATTGGAATTGTAAATCTTGTAAATCGTCTGGCAAAAATTAGCTTCAATCCTTATTTGCATTATCCAGGGTTTCAGCGCAGAATTAGTCATACCTAACTTTTCAGGATTTGATTTTCTAAAAATTTGTCTTGCAGTCATTGATTTAGCATAAGAATATGGCGATGCCGTAAGTATTATATAGGCTCAAACGTCAATATCAACAGGATTTTTCTAGCTCCACAAAAAGCTTCAGCATTTTGATACAGCATCAGAGGGAACAGAGCGAACAGTACTGGCAGATGTGAGCTATTCCGGACAGAGATGAGGGTGTGCGCAAGTGTGGGTGAGAGTGGAAGAGAGTGGGACGCAAGACAAGAGTGTTGACATTACACCGACAACGAGAAGCTTCGTCAAGGAAAATCACATCACATGACAGAATCCGCACAGTGCTAGGTGGTCATGACACGGAATGCATCATTTGTGGAGGATAGTAAGAACTATAATAGTTGGTATCCTCGGCTTCTCCCGCTACTGCGTTTTTAATTGGCTAAACAGATTGCAAATTTGGTCTTCAACTCTAAAGGCTCAACTTATCTGTTTTCTTTTACTCCTGTAACGCAGGGCTGATACCTCCCAAACCACATCGCTTTCATCGCCCTCATCGTGGAATGAAAATAAGTTCTACCGCTAGATTTACGCAAAAGTTGTAAACGGTTTGAACAGTTGATAAGAGTTCATTTTTCATCAAAATCGATAAATCAGTAGAAGGATTGGGAATCTAGCTGCGAAAAGTAGCCTATGGAATGGATGTCGAAAACCCATGTGTGCAAAGTTTACACGCCGATCGGTCCACACAAAAAATTTTCTGTAAAGAACAACACTGACTAACAATTTACCAACACTCAACTTTATGTATGTCTAGACTGATGCTATGAGAAGTGAGACGTTACTGTGTAAGCAAGGGCAGCAATCAACTACGTTAAGAAGAAAGTTCGCTCGCATTTTCAAAAATTCGTAAATATCTTCCTCTCAACCAATTTACAGATCTTGTATCTTTACTTGAAAGAGAAAATTCTGTCCTTTCACATAACCCCCTGATTCAGCTGGCTTGGCGGCTGGAAGGCTTGGCTTCGTGATCCAATTAAGGCTAGGTAATAATCAGAGAGGGTAGAGGTACGAACGCCTCAATTAGGCGCCGCTTCTGCGGGCTGCTGGTCCTTTTGTCTTACTGTTGTACATCGTGTTGGGACCAGTAGTCCGCGGAGGCGGTGCCAAATTGAGGCGTTCATTCCTCCACCCATCAGAGAACACGCGCGCGGGAAAGACACAGACTGCGTCGCGGGCGCGAGCGGTTAATTAAGTCACAAAGCCCCGCCTTCCAGTCGCCAAGCCAGTTGAGTCAAAGGTTGCCTAAATTACCTTTTAGTAAAAACAAGGTCTGGAGATCACAGCCGGAAAAGAAAACTACAATTTTTTCTTTGTTTGGTCGTAAAAAATGTGAAACTAGCAACGGTAAGTGGAGCAGTGGTAATATAGATTTTTTATATGCTCTTCCTTTGAGCAAAGCTTGTGCTGGAAGGCCTATAGCAAAGTTATTGAGTTTTGAGCATGTAGTACAAAACAGCGAATTCAATTTTTTGGATTTTTCTTAATAATCAGAGCTCTTCATAATAACTTCAATTAGCGCAAACTTTGCTCAATTAGAAAGAGCAGGTAGTAAAACTTGAAATACCGACTTTGTTGCAATTTCCAGATTTTTTTACGTCCAAACACAAGAAATTCGAAAGCTGAGTAAATTTTTCGTTTTTAGAACTTGCTTCTATCAAATCAGGTGTCAGAAAAAACATGATTTCCTTCGAGTAAAATTAGAAATTTGCAAATCGGTCAAGTTAGAAGGAAGTTGCAAAGTTTTGTGGCGAAGAAACTTTCGTACCAACCTAATAATTTTTTTAAGGAGTAGCTTGACGTGCTGCGAAAAATTTTTCCGAATCGATATCTTTCTGAAAAAAAAAACACAATACAGGCAGATAAGACCTTCATGAGCGGGAGGAGAACCTATCTTTTCTAATGCTGCAGATAACGGCGCATACTTGGAACTAGTCTATGAGGAATGTGAGAACAGCCTGAACGCATCATTTACCAGGTCTGCCTCTTCAGCATCTTTCTTTTGTGACCTCTGCTTTTACACTAACCGATGCGCCTGAATTAAGTAAACCTAAAGGAGCACTCGAGCACACCTTCGAGAATGAGTTATACAGGGTGGTCCAAGAATGTGTCTCCTGTTTGATTGTCAATAAATCTATTACCATGAAATTTTTCAAAAAGCATTGGATACCATTTTGTAGAGCTGGCTTCAACTTCAACTCTTCATTACAGTAGGATTACGGTAGAGACTTTGACGAAAGTTTTGCGTCATCAAGGGTCATATTTATCCCTAAAAATTACTAAAAAAGCTGTGACCCCTATACTAGCTCAATCAAAGTCGCTGTCGTCATATATGAAACTCGCACTTCACCGTATTTTTTTCTCATAAGTTACGCTAGATACGTAGCAACCACTGGTGTACCAGGGGGAGGGGAGGAGGGGGGATAGCCCTCCCGTGAATGGGTTGCGAAATCCCTGAGAGTTACCTAAATGCGCTATAAATGTGCAAGCGACTTGTTTTTACTTGTAAATAATCAAGATGATCTTTAAAAATTCATAAAAAGTCAAATTAGCCTTGTAAAAAATTTTTTTCGGAAGCGTGGTTGTAGCCACTGGTAGCAAACGTTCTGACATTCGTTAAAAATTTGAATACGCCGTTCAAGAAATATCACGAACGCGCAAAAAGTTATGTAGTGAAATCAGCACGCATGCAAATTTTGTTGCAAAATTTTCCAGATTTTTTTGAAATTTTTTTTGAGCGGCCCATCCCGTGGCGCCATATGCTGCGAGTTCCTGCCGTAATCCTACAGACAAGATAGCTCTAAACTTTAGATTTAAGTTGTAGCCTGCTCTACAGAATGTATAATACTTAAAACTTTTCCAAAGATTTTATGACAGGAGAAATATCAACAATCAAACAATGGGCAGAATTTTTTTGAGATACCCTGTGTTAATATGCATCATCACCAATCATCACGACTATTACAGTACAAAGACAAGGGAACATCATGCATAAGATTTTTACTATTGATTACTATTGATTGTGCTCTTTACCCATTATGAATCTCTAGGAGTAGATAAATTCGCGAGCCAGGCTACATCTACTGAATCGTTTCAAAAGTTCTACTCGTTTTCCATACCTTTTCGAAGGCAAATCCTGGAGCAAATCTAATCAATTTCATCCAGTCCATTTTGCATCACCAGTCGATTGCAGCCAACAATGTCGCCACCCTTTGAAAAAAGATCAACATTGATTCAGTGCTTTCGACAACGCTCCGACATTTCCTAAACTCAGAAGTTCTTACAGTAAGCTTCTTGACAAATGCAACATCAAGACTTTTGGAATTCTGCCTGCTTGCAGGGCAGTCTAACAAAAATAAATAGCAAACGAATTCTCAAAAGTTAGAGTATTTACATCCTTGACACCACAAATAGCACAACTGCCCCATGTTGTGAGCGCTTACCCAATCACACAATTAAAAGAAGAATCAACCTTGCAATCATAACGCTATACAATTTATAAAGCGCAGCGCTAAGCAAATATGACAGGCATTGACATGTTCCTTCTGACAGACACAACAATGTATCGAGAGGCATCTTGATAGCAGATGCTTGCTCGGGAGAACCCATTAGTAATTTAGCATCTTCTAGCCAGAAGACCGCTTTGAAGCAAAGTTCTAAGTGCAGTGATTTGATCTGTGACAATATCGGATTGTCAGGGACAAACAAATTCCAGACATTTCAGGTACACGTTTTATACCGTAATCAAATACATCACAAAAGCATTGCTCTGAATATCGGTGATGCTACTTTGCTAACTTTTACAATTCGATCGACGAAGACTCACACAGCCAAAATGCTGGAAGATGTACCGCGACTTCCTACTCTTGCATAATTCTTCTTTGCAACAAAATATATTCACTGAACAATGTTGCTTATTCAGAAAATCTGACACATTCTAAACCTTGGGTTTATTTCGCTAACGACTAAACCAGTTTGAATGAGACAGGAAGTATCAAGCTTGAGTCTTTCTCAGAAACGCTGTAAAAGTGCAGTCAAAACTGCGCGATTGAGAAGAAGCTGCAGCTGGCGGTTTCATACTGTGCACCATTTGCCGCAGGTGTTTTATTCTGCCGTTATGCCTTGACCCTAGTCTAAGCCTCAGTTGAGGAGGGCCATTCAGATGCCTGCCCAGATGTAGAGGGGCAAAGAAATTGCTCCACCTATTGTACGTACGGATGGGACTTTGTAGTGTTTTGCCAGGGCTGAGCGGAGCCGGGTAAGCCTGCTAGTTTGTTATAAAAGAAGCATTACGACGAAGTGTGAATTTCATATCTGTGTTCAGCAATTCCGATCATCCTACTGTGAGAGTTCAGAGCCTAGTTCTATGCGGAGCAAGTAAGAAAGGATTGTTTGGAGTGAAAGTCTTTTGGTCAGTTCGCCTTTTCTTTTCCAACCTTATAGGTACTATGCATGCATGCATCAAAACGTTTCATGTTCAGTAGAGGTCCAAAATCTTTTGAAGAGCTCGCCACTACCGGCTCATAACTCGCGAAAGCATTGTCTGTGCTCGCTCTTGACTAAGTAATACTGTGCTACAATCGGTGTCTTAGAATAGTATGATTTTCAAGCATGGTTTATTCACAGCAATCCAATACAGTGAATGGGACTAAGTGATATTCACATCTTAGAGAAAGTTGCTCAAAGACACAAAATCCGGACACAGATTTGAGATTGCCTATTTAAGTCTAATAGTCTACTATCAATGCATTTGAAATCATTGCAAGACTTCATATACTGAATTTCTACCAGACATACCACGACTACATCTTTTGTTTAGAAACGGTGTCGACGACCATGATGCTTTGGTCCACGATGGATTGGTCCGGGGCGATGACCTGGTCTCGGGCGATGGTGTGGTCCTGGTCTGCCTGGACGATGGTGCATTCCGTGTCTCATGCCTTGCACTGTTAAAAAACACATAATCAGCAAGTAGGAGCAAACTGAAATTGGAACCTACCAGATGTGCTGCAGATAAACATCAAGGCAAGTAAGGTTATGAAGAGAAACTTGAAGGACGCCATCTACGCGGGATCGGAAACACTTCGAACTCTTGTACACCCCTATTTGCTGGAAGAACTTATATACTATGCTTAATATTGCTCACAAAGACCTTAGATTCGCCAAATATTGTTCAAACTTCTACCAAAAAAGTGAAATGCGTCTTGTTCCGGTAAGATTTCAAATTGAAAAAGCTTTCCGCAGTGTGTTGTTTGACCACATACTCAGATGATGAGCCATCATGACGACGTAACAAAGTTAATGACCACAGATTGGCGGCAAGACCCAAGCGGTTTCGCACATTGTTTTCTGTTGTCAAATCACCATCGAATGAAGAAGAACGTGAGAAATTGAGGATTTGCTGATTTTGATAATACACTTGTACGCTGCAGCTTATGATTAGCACCAATCTTTAGGGGTGATCCATTCTCATTGAGTGTAAGGAAACAAATGCAAAATTTTTTTTAGCTGAGAAGCTAGTTTCTTGATGGTGTAGTGGTTTTACGGAAAGGTAGATGAATCGACCGGTATGCCACACTTGAACGATTTACAATCTCTTAATTAATCGGGCCTTCTAACAAGGAATGCATGTTTAGTCGAAGCGACCTTTTGAGATGGTATGTGAACTATATTGAAGGGCATAAAATGCTGATTTCAAGTCTGCCTTCCTTATCTGCAGAACTTTTATGAACGAGGAATTATGAGCGATTATTGGAGCAAAAAATTGAATGTGCAAGTCGAACAAAAATAGCCCTTTAAGCTTTCTAGCTCTTCAATGGAGCAGTGATAATTATCAGAGCACTTTATTCAAATGTACTTAAATAAAAAAATATATCGCACTTGGTTGCACTACTTGAGGGCTAGTAAGATTTTCGCAACTCATTTTAATCTAAGCGCACATTTAATTTTTGGCTCCAAAAACGCTCATAACTCCTCGTCCAACGTTTTGCAGGTGAAGGCAGATTTGGAATCAGAGTTTCATGCCCTTTAATATGGTACACATCTCATTTGGAAAGGCCACTTCGACTTAACAAGTTTTTTTTGTAACTAGAGTCCATATCTCATGCCATTGCAAATTCAATGAAAATTTGCCAGTGTCTTGCGCAGTGCCAATATTAAGACCAAAGAGGACACCAAATCTAGGCGATGAGTGCCTTCGCTTGTTTTTGAAAGTTTTCCAACATTCGTACGAAACACTAATCTTTGCGCCATGCTGATGTTAAGCATTACCTTTTGTTTGTTGGAAGCCATCCATTATAAGATTTGTGCCTTTTTTCAAAGAGTTAAATTACGATTCGATTCAACTGCAGGCTTTCGAAGCAAGTTGTCCAAATTGCACTAGATGCTTGCAGCATCTACCTAATCTCATATGCAGTGAAAATATAAAGTATGACTGTATTAAGCTTTGTAGGATTGAACAGATGTTTGGATGCAGTAATTGTGGAGAGGTGCTGAAGGTATATTACCACTTGACAACTTCGACCCTTATCTATAGAATAGATGAGTGCCCAATCATTGCTGTGGTTGAGGCCAAAGACGCTTTTACAGCGTTACTCGCAGTTCGACATATATTGGTGATCTTGAATGTAATTAACATTTGTTTTGACAGCAACATACGTAAGTCAGCATTCACAATAAAACAGAGCATTTTTCTACTTAGTTTAATTTTCACTTTTTGAGGTGAAATAGCTTAGCACTTACTCTTGTTTGCAGTAGCTAAGTGGATTTTATTTTGCTACAAATAAATTTACTGGTAGCTTAACGAGAGCGTCAACGCATGGTCATACAGTGTAAATGCTGAGTTTGTATAGAGTCTTCCTGCCTACCGAAAACTTTGTTGAAGTTCCATTAACTCTTGCGGAGAAACGAAATCTAATGGAAACACCGCGGCAAGACTACATTTTTTTTCCTGATCGTTGTCCTTTATTTCGTCATCTTGTTGGTATGACGGTATGTGATCACACATCTTCGTCTGTTTTCGCACTTTTTCTTACGATATAACATTAAACCTGATACTGAGCACTTGTTTTCCTTCTTCTATGGCTCGCTAAACTGATATCGGTGGAATTTCGAGTTTTATAAAGTAAGTTAAGATGTAGTATATAAGTCTGTAGAGAATAAGTTTGGTGCTTGAGGTAGAAGTGCTTCTGATCCCGCGTAGATGGCATCTTTCAAGACCCTCTTGATAACCCTGCTCGCCTTGATGTTTATCTGCAGCACATCTGGTAGGTTCCAATTTCATTCTGCTCCTACATGCTGATTACGTATTTCTTTAACAGTGCAAGGCATGAGACACGGAATGCACCATCGTCCAGGCAGACCAGGACCAGGCCATCGCCCGAGACCAGGTCATCGCCCGGGATTCCATCGTGGGCCAAAGCATCATGGCCGCCGCCGCCGTTTCTAAGCAAAACATCTAGTCGTGGTACGTCTGCCAGCAATTTAGCATATGAAGTCTTGCAGTGATACAATATGCAATGTTAGTAGACTACTATGACATATGCTTAAATAGCAATCTCAAATTTGTGTTTGGATTTTGTGTCTTTGAGCAACTTTCTCTAAGATGTGAATATCACTTAGTCCCATTCACTTTATTGGATTGCTGTGAAAAAATCATGCTTGAAAACCATACTATTCGAAAACACCGATTGTAGCACACGTATTACATAGCACAGAGCGAACACAGACAGTGCTTTCGCGAATTATGACCCGGTAGTCAACACAGCGAGCTCTTCAAAAGATTTTGAAGCTCTCCTGAACATGAAACGTTTCGACGCGCGCATATATAGTACCTATAAGGATGGAAAATAGAAAACGAACTGAGTTGTAACAGCGATTTTATTGGGTAAAACAAAGCAAACGCTACAGGATAACCTTCGAGCATTGCCACTGAATCCGAAGTCCATGATAAACCTGTGCCGCAAAAAGATCATCACTCAAAATAATCCTTTCTTACTTGCTCCGCATAGAACTAGGCTTAGAACTTTCACAGTAGGGTAATCGGAATTGCTTAGAACAGATATGAAATTTACACTTTGTCGTAATGCTTTCATAACATACTAGTTGGCTTACCCGGCTCCGCTCGGCCCTGTCAAAACATTAAAAAGTCCCACCCGTACGTGCGATAAGTGCAGCAATTTCTTTGCCCCTCTTCACTTTCGGGCGGGCATCTGAATGACCCTCATCAACTGAGGCTTAGCTAGGGTCAAGGCACCGGCAGAATAAAACACCTACGACAGATGGTGCACATTTTGTATGGAACCGAAAGCTGCAGCTTCTTCTCAGTCGGTGCATGACATAATTGCATTTTAACAGCGTTTCTGAGAAATACTCAAGCTTGATACTTCCTGTCTCATTCAAACTGGTTTAATCGTTAGCGAAATAAACCCAAAGTTTAGAATGTGTCAGATTTTTTGAATAAGCAACATTCATTAGACAGTCTCTTTTTTTTTCTAGCTTCCCTCTTTCTTTCAGAAATGGAGTGCAAAGTGATCGCATAAATTTAGCTGGTGTTGCAGCAAGATAGAGATTTATATGTAGAGTTACACACTAGCTGGAAAAAGAGAGAGGGTAATGCTGATGTTTCCAACTTTCGAATGATGTTGACATAAACCTTTCCTAAATCAAAACACTGTGTTCAGTAGATTCCGAAACCAAAGCACTAAAAAATTCTCCACATTACACCTTACCATTTACCAAGTACCACTTATCTTTCCCCCTTTGCACACCTCAGTCCCACTCGGCATGTAAGCTTACGTCAGCACTCACCCAAAGGCTCGGTTATCCCCTTCATTTTCTAGATCGGAAATAACCGAACTTCACCTGGAGGGGACCCTGCTCCTTTTATCGCACCTATGGTCCCATCCGTGTCCCTGTACAACCTTTCCTTGTGCCCACTCCCACATGCCAATTATTTATTAATTCGATTATTCGACATTTGGTAATTTTAAATAATATTAAAAAGAAAAGAAATATAAATATTATGAATAGATATTAATAAGTATTATAGAATATTATATTAGGAATGTAAATAAATTAAAATATCAATAAAAATAAAAATAAAATTAGTATTGATAAAAAACCATATATTCCCGCTGTGTTAGTAATCAGCATGCTCGCTTACTCCCATGTGCCGATTCCCAGCACCGTAGCCGGACTTTGCAAAAATTGATAAAATCAATAGAACTAATCGATAATTTTGAAAAAACTTGTACATCAGAGGTGCGATGGGGGGAGCCGCCCCCCCCCAAAAAGTGAAGGTGGCGCCGGGGGGGGGAGCACACCTACTCGACGTCTCTTTTTGCAAAAAAATTTCCTCAAAAGCTTTTTCACTGATTAATAAAAAGGAGGAATAAATGAAACTGATTTAAAGTTCACTACTCGCCGTCGCCTACTGCGAGCACTTAGAGGACGACAAGCGCATCTACGCCTCACCTCGCCTCTCTACGATTTTGGAGGGCAAAGCTTCATGATCAATTCGGATAATTACAGAACTCTAACCCAACGGCCCTCTTTAGGGCCAGAAATACGATGAGTACAGCGGCATAAATAGTTGAAGTTAACGTGTTAATCAAATAGTGTATTTGTAAGTAAAACTCAGCGAAACTTTACGTCTTTGCAAATAAATTTTGTTATAACGTAATGCGTAAGGAAGTAGGTCGAGGCAATAATCACTGAGAACCACAATTTCGAATAATAAAATAGCGAAAAATTTGCGATTTCATTTGTTATAAATCTGGTAGTTGAAGATGTCAGCAGCTGCGACTTCATAGGTTTCGAAGTGTAAGTGTTGTTCTACCAGACAGTGAAATATCAAGACGATTTGAGCAGTGGCCGCCGAGAACGAGAATTTTGAAGAATTGAGCGATTTTAGGTTGCTTAGTGACAGCTGGCGTTTAGACTCCCATAAATCTGAAATGTGAAGATATGCAATGTTGCAACTTTATAGTTTTGTAGAGTAAATTTTGCACTATCAGATTTTTCTTAGCCGTAATGATCCACTGAGATACGCCGAGATTCAGGCTCTTAAACAAACATTCAAAACCGCTTTTTGAATTTCAA